TTGGAATTGCAATTGTTATCCATGGGTTTTGGTATGCCTGGAAGTTATTACCTGGATGGTGCACCCTCAATGGTACCAAGGATATTGGGTGGGCTGAAGCTATTGGCTTTGAGCCACTCATCCTTACAATGCTCCACCTTGGGTTACCATCTAGGGGAGGGCACTTTCAGTTGCACTGTGACAACCTCAGAGTTATCAAAGGATGGGTGAATAGATGCAGCAGGAACTGGGCAACAAACTGCATTTTTAGGCAAGTGCTCTCCATGCTCGAATCTCTTGGATCTTCCACATCCTTCCATCTTTCTTACATCCCAAGTAGAGAGAACCCTGCTAACAGTCCTTTATGAGGACACTTCTCTCCTGAGCACCTCTTGCTCCTGCATATCACCCTCCCAACAGAACTCACTTCTGTGCTCATCGACGCCACACCATCTGCCACACCTGACACCATCTGTTCCATGCACCCAGACACACACAGGAAAGCAAATTTTGACAAGTTGGCTGACAGGTCAGAAGAGTGGCAGTTTGGAGAAGAGCTATGGCAATTCCGAGAGCATTGGAAGGAATAGGTTGTCATGTTTTCAATTGCTGGTTCCTGCACTTGCCTCATCACTAAGTGCTGTCACTCCTCATCCATATCAGACTGCATTGATGCCATTTCCTTCTTCACTGCAACCACATTGTTTAGTGCAAGACCACTTACATATATGGCATCCTGTATGAAGCTGTTCGCAGATTGACCATACTGGAGCAGTAATACCTCTATCCGAAGATGATCTCAATTGCATCCTCACTGTCATCAGGCACCCACTAGCTTCTGGGACTCACACAACCTATGGTTCTGGGTTGTTGGTGTTTCATGTTTTTTGCAATACCCATGGAGTTCCAGAGGAACAGCAAAGTCCTGCCTCATCAGTATTGATCTTAGCATTCATTGTGAATTGCACTGGTATGTATTCAGGAAAAACACTGGAAAACTATTACTATGGCATATATGCTTGGCACATTCTTCAGGGCCTTGACTGGGTAGTGAATCAAGCTCAAGTGGTCTTGGCTCTAGAAGGAGGTACATGCCTTGCTCCTGCTGTCTCCAAGCATCCCAAATGTCATCCTTTCACAATCCCCATTCTTCTTCAAGTTCAATCAACACTAGTTCTATCAGATCCTTTGGATGCAGCAGTATGGGCATGTCTGTTGACATCATTTTTCTCCCTGGCATGACTGGGGGAGGTTACTGTTCATTTATTGTCAGCTTTTGAACCCTCCCTCCATGTCAAAGTATCCAACATTGCATACACCCAAGATTGGCATGGACTAAAAGTGACCATCCTACATCTTCCATGGTCCAAGGTGTCCACCACTGGAGAGGACTTGTACTTCATGCAATCAGAAAATGTTGACTCCACTGCAGCTCTAGTGAACCACTTGCACATAAACACTTGCACATCCACAGATGCCCTTTTCAGTTGGAGGCATCACAATGGTCTGCACCCTCTGACTCGATCTGAATTCCTGCATAGCCTAGATTGTTCTTCCCAGCATCTGCAAATCAAGCCACTTAAGGGTCATGGAATACACATTGGCAGAACCTTGGAATACTTACTATGGGGTGTCCATTTCAAGACAGTGAAAGCAATGGGTAGATGGAGTGGAGATGCCTTTACAGGGTATTTGTGCAAGCACACCATAGTGATGGCACCTGTATGGTAGTCATGTAAGTCATCACTTTCCATCTTGTGTTTGGGGGCAAGCATGCACTAGCTGTGCCATCAAGCTCCTAATTCTTGGGTACTATCACTCATACTTGCCTTGTTCTGCCCACAGAGCCAAAAGGCATGTTTCAGCTGATTAAATATCAGAAGGTTTATTGCCCAAATAGATTACTATGTTAGCTTTCTTGTCAGCTACACCTTTCTTGGATATGGACTCATTCTCTTGTTTGTGTGCTTTCAAATAAAATATTTATAAAGCACTTCTTGGCTTACTTGAACCTTCAGAGTCAGAGAACATAGACCTGGAGCCAGTACAGAGGTTTTAGTTCTTCCAGCTGCTACAGTCATTTCAAAAGAAGCACTGTGCTATGCACTGCTATGAGGCACTTCACTCAGCAGTGAGTTTCCTTACAGTAATATAGTGGCATTTGCATTTGTCTCGCACAACACTCCACTGTGACACTTTTTCATCAAACTTTTTGGTGGTTTACATAGGTTTCATATGGGACCATGTGTTGGCAGCATTAATAGGTACAAATGAGTGTAGATTCTTGTATGATGTTATGTTTTGTTCTTAAATTTTCACAATTATATGTGTGACATGTTGACATCTGACTCTGAAACTGATGCAATACATGTATATAGCCTCTATATACAATACAATTGTATTCCGCAGGTGATCAAATGAGCAAGTGCATTGCCAGAGCAATGCTGATTGAGGATGTCTTGAGAGTCTCTAATCAACTGATAAGTGAGTGATAGACTTTGCAATCATTGATCATTGCTAAGGTTGTGCTTCAATATGTAATCGCACACTTCGTGCAACTCAGACTTGCAAGTCTGTTGACTGGCACAATGAATAAGAATACCTTTCAATCAACTTCACTCACATCTCACCATGGCCAAGCATGCACAGTCCATCTCCAGGAAAAAAAAGCTCGCACATAAGGAGCAAGAACGAGCCATTGCTCATGCTATGCAGGCTTACAGAATCGAGCTGGTAAAACCAGGTGTGGAATGGAAACCACTGAAGACACTCTGCTAATCAACAGTGGTATTGCAAGGCATGTTTTGCAACAGACTGTCAAGTCAGTTAGCATTGCAGGAGGAGAAGAAGCAAGGGAAAAAACAGGAACAGTTAGTGGGCGATGGACTCCCCAGGCTCCTCACAGGTGATGCATTTTATACCTCTGTTGTCAAATACTAGAAAGCTGCTGAAGAAGAAGCAGTGGCACTTGAAACTCATTGGCAAGAAAGGGACAAATGAGTGAATCTGATGAAGATATGGAAGAAGGACAACATGAAACGATTGGAAAGAAACAAGGCATGCAGGAAAGCATACAAGGAAGAGTTGACTCAGTGGGAAGCCATCAGTGAACCGGTGAACAGATTAAAATGTCATAGTTAACTATATATGGTCAACAATCGCCACAATCTCCATAAATTTGGCAGGAGGGTTTACTTTGAAATGTTTGACCTTATGAAGGAAAGATGAATTTTCAAGCCAACCAGTCAAGTTATTGTATCCTCGACATACCACTTTATATGTTAAGTTCCCACACCCCACGAAGGGGTAATGAATTTTCTATGAACAAAAGATGTCATGGCAGCCAATGAAGTGAACTGTGGATCCATAATTATCGGGATGAGCATTGAGGTGGCTACTCACATGGGCCTCAAACCCTTGAGCAATACTACAACAACTAAAATCATCCCATGTGTGAATGTGTCCCATTGAGTTATGGCTGTTGAGGATTCACTTATACCTTCCAACAAAGCGGCGACAATGAGAAGGAATAATGAATGTTCAAGTTGACCAGTCAGGTTGTTGCATCCTCAACATGCCACTCAATACATGAACCAAGTTATGAACAAAAGATGTTGTGGCAGCCAATGAAGTGAACTGTGGATCTGTGATTGTTGAGACAAACATTGAGATTGTCACTTGCATAAGCATCAAACCCTTGCACAATGCTACAATGACTAAAATTATCCCGTGTGTGAATATGTACAGTTAAATTATGGTTATTGAAACCTCACTTGTACCATTGAACAAAGTAGCAACAGTAAAATTTTCAAATAGAATTGTTGAAATGAGCACCAAAGCTGCAACTGGCATGGGGGAGCAAACCCTTTTAGGAAATCTCTGACTTGGATATGTCATTCAGATGTGTGAAGATTTGCAATTAGCCAAAGAAGATACACTGCATGACAACACTTTGACTATATTATCTAAATGAAATAGTAGACATATATTGAGTGCTTTGGTACCTTGCTATGAGGATAGGTGCAATGCACGAGGCCAACACTAGTACCTAATTTGCACAATAACAGCAAGACTGTCCTGACATGAATATAAGGTCGATGTCGGTATATTATGTCAGACTCACAACCCCATCCAGCATTGGGAAAGACAAAAATGGCCACAATAAATTTTACAGTGTTCTGCTGACATCCCAAATTTAACAAATGGGTGGCAATGTAGTGATTGAGGGCTTGGATGCTGAGGAGCAGGGTTGTGCAGTTTTGAGGAGATGATTAGGTATGTCTAGTGTTTTGCTTTTGTAGATATACATTGTCTTTGCTCAGATAGGTGGTATTTTGTATGAGTTGCAAAAGCACATCGCGGTAACAGGTCAACACCAGTTTACAAATTATTTTCGCTGATTCAGCTATTCAGTGAAATATATTTCTATATTCCAACATCTACCATGGCTCCTTTACCTACCTGATGTGCCTCTTGCATTTGGGTTTATCAACCAAACCTATTCAGCTGGAGGCTGGGGTTGATCTCCACAACTAAGGGCATTGCATTTGAAAAGCTCTTGGCATTTTGATTGCACAGTTATCCCTCTGGTTGTACAAAGATTGAACTTCCATGTTGCATGGTAGTGTTGAACATGGAAATAAATTTAGTTGCTATCAGCAAGTTAAATGGCATGAGTTCTGGATGGTCAACCAATGATACACAGTTGGGGCTTGTGCATAACCTCCAAGATTATGGTGTTTGTAGGTAGAAACTTTTAATGCATCACTTGGCGCTAGGCAGCTTTAAGTTTGGACATTGAAATAAATCAATTAGTGGGTTGATATAAAATTCTACTGAAGATCCTGAAACAATATCCAATCTCAAAACAGGTGAAATTCTGAGGTGACATTGTAACATTAAAATTACTGTAGACATAAATATTTCAGGAATATTGTATTAATACAGGTAATAGCCCATGTTGATTAGTGGGCAAAAGAAAAGGGGGTAATGATAAACAAGAACAGTGAGAAGGAAAAAAATCAGTCCAAGTCAAAGGCAGCATCCTCCAGCACCTTCCTCTGCCCTGCCAGTGTGTTGATGGACATCTGTGATACAACATCTGGGGTAAGGTCCTCACAATGATTGATTCCAAATATTTTCCTAAATAGCAAGATCAGCCATCCACTCCTACTAGTAGATGATAAATTGTTACCATGTCCACCATTCCAAAAGCCTATCTATCCTATGTTTCATAACAGGACTGGGGACATCCTCAAAAAAGTCTACAGTGTTATTCCAGAACCCTTCATAGTCGAAATCACCATTGACAGTGCACCAAGATGAGATGTTCGATAAAGTGAAATGAACCTGCCACTCAAAGGTTAGATGCTGGATGTGAACATAGTAACTATTAATACCCACTTACTTGACAAACAACATAAGTGATAGTGCGAGGGGTAACTTTTTTCATGTTGATGACTGAGGCGACGCAAGTTTTGACCTTTGCTTGCTCTGATTTCTGTCAGGTGCACCTGTTGTTCTCAAGGATGTCAGCTCCATCACCATCACCTTTGGCTTCCTTCGCAGAGGAAGGAGATGTAAAGATGGCTTTAAAAGCCTGTGATGCGAAGTAGAAGATGTCATCATGAGTGGTTTCTAAAGTCACTCACCTGAACAAGAAGCTTGGACTTGGAGAGCCCTTCCTCAAGGTTCTCATGGTTGACTTTGTAGTTTTTGTACAAAAACAATGGCCAAGAGTTTTCTGAGATGATGCATTCTGACATCCTGTTATGAATGCTGTCCTTGACACTGGACAGGTGTCAGGGTCATTTGACAGTCCAGAAAGGATAAATTTGCTCACCAGTTTTGATCCCAGTCCCATTCTGCAGGGCAGAGTAGCTTCCCACAAACTTTGCTTGTGTCATATGCCATTCTGGACTCTCAACTCTAAATCCACTTCTCTGAATATCCAGATCTGAGATCTGGATCTCAAATGATCTGATCTATCTTTATCTCCCTTCCGGAATCCAAACCCTATATCAGTGCCCAACCCCATTTAGACTTCCCCTGTCTCTGGACTCTGGTTAACCATGTTTCCCTTTTGATTATTGATCTGTTACATACATTTCATTTCCAGTGTTCATTATTTGTGATCCGTCCTACTTACTAATAGACTTTGCATATGCTTTGTACATAGCCTTTATGTTTGCTGACTGATTCCTATATGATACCTACAGTATATAAACCTCCTGTAACTCTCAGAAATACTCCAGTTTGAATATCATCTTAGTTCCTGCTCATTCCTGTGTCCTCTGGACTTGAGATAAGTCTCTTGTCATATTCCAAGTCTTAGGATTGCATCCTAGGCTACATTTCCGACTCTACCATAAAGGTAGTCCATCCTCTGTTAGTTTCTAGTCCGGATTAGTCTTATCTGCTTGTCCAAGTAATATCTGGATGTCCATTGTCTGCCCTAGTCAAATCCTGGAAACTCTGGACAACTGCTCCAGCCCCTGGAAATTAAGGGCACATACTTGGGAAAGGGGCACAGTGTACGAGCTGAGGCCAAGCCCTTGTGATCCGACCCCCTTGAGCATGTGACCTTAACAGCTTGCAAGGCCATGTGAATGCTTGTCATCAGGTTGGATCAGAGGAGAAGGACAAAATGCTTGATTGACCCAGGCAGCTACCAGGTCCTTGAGGCAGGAGGTATTGTCTCTACAAGCTGCATTGGCTCCTTTATTGAGCTATAAAATAATCAGCATGCAATGTAATTTTGTTTGCGAAATATATCAGACCTTTTTCAACATATCTTCAGTCTTTGTACTCAAGGGTCCCCAACTTCCCATGCAGCCATGGCAGCACCCGCAAGAGTTCAATGTAGCCACATTGCATGTGATCTTGCCCAAGTTTATTGTATGATTGAAATATGGTATGAAAATGCAGTTGACCACCTACTCTGGTGTGGCCGCATCCTCTGGTTGATCCTCATACCGGCGATCATTTTCAGAAATCAGGTCTTCCAAGCTGGCATAAAGGATCACTAGGCGATGAATCACCCTACCTTGTGCAATGTAGTAGGTTGTTTTTCTTTGTAAGAAAATCAACACTGGACTAAGAGTAATGAATGGGACGGTAGGCTTACCTCTGCTTCATTCCCCTCTCTTGCTGCATAATCTCCAGCTCATCTTCTAAGGCAGCAATGCGATGCTTGGCCCTTGCTTTGGCAGTAGTAGGCATCACTCCAGATCCAGATACTGTCGACACATGTTGGGAATTTGAAAGCCCCACGCCATCAGACACTGACTCAGACTCAGAAACATTAGAATTTTGGGATGCCATGAAGTGGAGGAGAGGAAGGGAAGGGAATGGAAGGGAGAATTTCAGGACAGCTGTTGCACAGTGAAAGAGCAAGGCAACATCACAGTGGGATGAGAGAAATGAGTGAACTTGAAGTAAAGAGAGCTATCCTTTATACATTCACTGATGGGCCCACTCAGGCTAGAGCATAGTCTTAAGGATAGATGACATTTACATACCAATATACACATGCCTGGTCTTATGGTGCTTCCATTAGTCTCAAAAACCCTCCCACCTGACAGCATTGTTTAAGAGGTAACCATTACGTGTCACACCTGGATTTTAGTATGATAGGCTCCCATCAGTCGCCCTGCTGATTGGATCATTAACAGATGCTTTATGCTCTTTTCTTTCGGTAACTGTACATGTTGATAAAAAGACACAAGGGGTGCTTAATGCTCCATGAAGTCCAGCCACTGCAATTATTGCAAACAGATATGAGTGGCATAACTGACTAGCAGATCCATAATGATGTCAGCATTTGATCCAAATGGTAAGTCTGAGTCGAGAGTACAGGTTTGCATTATGAATGAAAGAACCAACCCCCTTGTACTTTATGATAGTAAGCTTACCATGATGAGACAATGTCCAATATAGGGTCTATGACCCCAAAGGACTCTGATGCAAAAAAAAGTCTGAGTTGGTTGGCATGCATTCAAGTTTGAGCCTATCTGAGTATATTGAACCTGAAGGGAGTCTCAGTGAACTTGGCAAGCCTGAGAAATGATATTAGTACTTGTAGCTGTAGTGATAAGCTCTTACTACTACCAACTGTTCAAGAGTGAGTGGGCCCAGTGTGTGATCACCTACTAGTAGTCATGTAGCCTTTGGACTTGGACCTCCAAGTCAGACTTGCACCAACAGGCTATCTCAGCAATTATCACAGTAAACTTAATAGTAACTTGAAGTCAAAGGCTCTGCCAGTGAGCCTGAGGGACTAGTACTAGTAGTACAATTAGCTGCCAGCAGTGACTGCCAGTGGGGGCCTGACTTGGACTCACAGTCATGGTGAGCCCACCTGCTGGGTCAACTTCAAGTTAGACTGTGACTGGGATGATCTTCAACTCTAATCCACTGGCACTGGTAGCCTGAGGGCCTCTGAGTCCAAGTCACCATAACCATGACTGTAGTGACTAGTACTTGAACCTGCTACTGAGTGCAAGTGCCAACTCTAAGCCATTGTGGCAACTGGATCCTGGCCAGCCTGAAGGTCCTGTTAGGAAGTTGACACCAGCCTTCAAGTTGAGGCTTACAATAGTAAAGAGCCTAGTCACCATGATGGTGGTGTGAACTTGGAACCTCCCCCCTCCCCCTCCCCTCACACACACACACACTGGCAGACTCCTGGGCCTGCACTTGAAGGACCCTTGAGTTGAAGGCTGATAAAATCATTACAAAAACTGATTGTAGTGCAAGCAGCTTTACTAAGCACTGCTAAAGACAAAGTTAGTGCTTTCCCATTCAATTGCAACTTGAAAATAGGTCATGGTCACAAAGGCTGTCTTGGTTCATGTGTCATTCACTTCATGGAGTATGAACACCTGAAGTTCAGGCTCTATCATCTTCCACTATTCTTGAAAGAGAGGGAAGAACTCACTGGGACTGGCACTTGACACCTGCAGAAAAACACTGCAGACTCAGGCTCATCAATCATTGCATGAACAGTCATTAGAGTGCTCAGAATGTTGGAGTGAATCACCATCCAATAGGTAAGATCATAGAACTCACCTCCCAGACCCGACCCCAATGTTGCAGGCTGATGACCTTCATCACTAAGTACTAATCACCCAAGACTTCTGACAGGATAACACTGGGCGGGGGCAGGCCAGCACCCTACTGGCTAGTCAGATTGTGTAAGTCATTCAAACTCTGAAGGCTAGTATTAGATATTAGCTGATGTCCCACTATGCTCCACAGCTGCCAATTTTGTGACCAGCATGAAACACAGTCATGCAAAGACACTGAGCTCTGGTAAGAGCTCACCTTCACACCATCATCAGGAGGGCTATGAGCAAGTGAACCACAAGTCATCCAGACTCCAAATTTTTACTGATAACTGAACCTGCAGATCCAGAAGGTTGATAAAGCCATGGGAAATGCTGCAAAAAAACAGGCTATGTGGCGGGCTACTACTGGCGACCTTGCACAACCACTTCTTAAGGATCAAAACCCTCATCTTATGAACTCCTTTATGGATCCACCTCCTTCTTATCCACCGAATGCCATTGCACATCAGTTGGCTGGGTACACACAAGCTGGCACCAAATTTGGGCCATGTGTAGTAAAGCCTGGCACACTAGCATCAGCAGAACTTCATTTTGCAGCAAAGTCACTTGCAAGAGATGGGCAATGTGAAACCTCTTTTGTGGAAATGGAAGCAGTAAGTATTGGTTTTTCCAACATATTTTTTGGTTCATAAATTGCCATGTAGGGCAAGGATATCCTGAAATGCAGTTTGCTATCAATGTCAGACAGGGCTGTTCAGAAAGCTACTTTGGCAAAACAAGCCTCATGAGAAATCGGACGTCTCCACATTATGTTAACTGTGTGGGAAATAGAGGAGGCAGAATGCCATGTGGAGCTCCTGCATGAGCTCCAGCACAGCAATATGGAGGGTTATGTGGTCACCTCTCATGAAGCTGTCTGGTTCAAGAGGTTTCTATCGGACCAGTCCCTGGTGGAAGTTAAAGACAACTTTGACTTCAACTGGACAGTCTACCTGAATGATCTGACATTGCTGGCAACTGCAGATGAACAGCTTAATCAGCTTGAATCTCACACAGAGGAGCATAGACTCATCCTATCTAAAGAAGAACTTGCACAAGAACTCAAGGCTTTGATTGTTGAGGGAGGTGAGGAGAGTGAAGCTGACTCGGATGATAGCCTTTGCAGTTCAATGAGCCCAGTCTGTCTATGAAGACAGACAGACTTATTCCTGCCATTATTTCATACTTCTTTCTTATCCTATGTTGCAACTCCATGTGACTTTTTGATTACAGTTTAGGACTGTCAATCAGGCCATCTGTATCTATTCTCATTTGTTCACTACTTGATTCTCTCATTCTTGGCTGCTGTAAATCAGAAAGAACCCATACAATATTACTGATCCGTCCACAGGATGTTACATAATTTGAAATACTAGACCAGACTCAGCAAACAATATTGACACCAAGATAATGTGAGTCAACTGTTTACTGTGACTGCCTTCAAAACTTGTCAAAGTCTGCAGAGTCTCTCATAGTATTTCAGTGCCCAGGTGTAACGAACCTTGAATGCATTCAGGTTTCTCTCCTTGGCTTCAAGTTGGTCTGCCACTTGTCTTTCTCCTTTTAATGGTCAGTGTGTCCTTATGCTCAGGTTGCAATGCAATGGGTTGTTCCTGGGCAAAGGATACAGATCCTCATGGGCTTAGCTGGCATTGTGCTACATGTAGGCAATACCAGAAAGCAAGTGTGTTAGCCGCAGAGAAAAGGCAGGAACGGGTAAAAGAGTCAACTTGATTATCACAAAAATTGACAACTGGGAGTATTTCGGTAAGTCATCTGCTCCCCAGGTCACTTGGCAAGTTTAGACTCATATATCCAATGCAGCACCTTCAACCAGTCTGATTTGTGGAGGAATGTTGTTCAAAACCTATAGCCCATTGCGAAGTCAAGGCATTCACTGGCAAGAGCAAGGCGCCTACTAATGTTGTCAATGCCAATCCGTCTACTAGTACTAGTATCACTTTGGTTGCCAGTGCCTCAGGTCTTACTACATCACAGGACTCAGATGTTGCGATGGCAGATGCCACTGAAGGTGACTATGACATTCCAGGCATGCACCTTTTTTAATTTGCCTGTTGCGATAACACTCATGGATGGCTACTAGTAGAACCACATTGATGTCCTTCGCGACGCACATTTATACCAAGGAGTTTCGATGACATTTTGCCTACTGATGAAGACATTAATCCCTCTGATTTTTCCGGGAATAATCTATCTGTTAGTATGACTGAGACTCGGAATCCACTGCAACATAGAATCCAAAGGGTTCTTTTGACACTGTGAGACACTCTCCAAACAGCATTTGACATGATTGGGCTCTCTAGACTAAATCCTCGGCACCCATCATATGAGCCCGATAAATTTGTCCCATCTTCATTATTAGCCAAATCATCTCCTGTAACTGCCAACATGCACGATGCCCAAGGACCTGATCCACCTGCTTCATTTGCTGAACCTCCTCATCCCTTTCCCAATATGACCATTCATCATCTTATGACATGGATGAACACTGGCAGCCATCAGAAGTCCCAGACCAAAGTAATGCACCTCATCAGGGAAGTGATTCAAGCTGAGGATTTTGACATCAAAGACCTGGATGGGTTTTCTGTTAGAAGGTCCTTGTACGCATTGGACAATGACAATGGCTAGGGAACTGTTGGTTTTCCTGACAATTGGGTCGAGACAGAAGTCAACTTGGACATTCCTACAAAGTCCAAAGATGACCAGTCTGTATTGTTTAGGGTTCCAGGATTTCACTACTGGCTGCTTGTAGCTGTTATTCACTCCACATTCACCAACACTCAAGCTAACGCCTTTCATCTACTTCCTTTCAAGCATTTGTGGAAGGATCCACTGGATGGCCATGAAGAGCACATTTTCGATGAGCTCTACACCTCCGACTTCTGGATAGAGGCTCAGGACAATCTGCAGAGGCAGCCAAAAGAACCTGGCTGCTCACTTGAACATGTTATCACCAGGCTCATGTTCTTTTCTGATGCAACTCACCTTGCAAACTTTGGAACAGCTAAGGCTTGGCCCCTTTACTTGTACTTTGGAAATTTGAGCAAGTACACCTGCTCAGCACCCAGCTCTGGCACATGTCACCTTGTAGGATTTTTACCTTCTGTGAGCCCCATCCCTTCACCACTGTGCAATGCTGTTGATGTCATTTTTTTTCAGCTTCCAGATAGAATAAAGGATGTTTTTAGCAGCCTGCCTCGCATGTCTAAGAGCAGCATGGCAGCCCTTCACACACATTGTCAATGAGAGTTATTTCATGCATGTTGGAATGTTTTACTGGATGCTGACTTTCTGCACATGTACTGTCATGGGATTGTGCTCATGTGTCTGGATGGAAAATTAAGACAAGTCTTTCTGCAAATTTTTACTTATTCAGCTGATTACCCAGAAAAGTGTGCTGCTTGTCCTTTTTACTTAAGATACTGATCATCATTTCAGGGTTCTAATAGCAATGATCAAAGACATGGGCTCTTGCCCATGCCCATGTTGTCTCATTCTGAAAACCTCATTTGATCTTTTGGGCCTTGTTAGAGACACACAAGATTGCTTAGGCAGGCTTAGAGCATACTCTCTTGCAAGTGTTACCATGGCTCATGAGTTCATCTACAAGTGGGGAAATGCTATTGATGGCTCGAAAGTAAAGGCTACCCTTGGGGAAGGGTCGTGGGTGCCGACCATGGTGAGATTGCCTTCAGAATGAATTGTGTTGATCAACACCTGATTCTTAAACAGAATGTGTTCATAGAAAAGCTTGGTCCACTAGGACATGATGCTTTCTGCATGCTCATAGTGGATTTCATGCACAAATGTGAGCTGGGCACATGGAAGGCACTCTTCACACACCTTATCCATTTAATTTACACACTTCCAGGGGGTGATAATCTGATCGCACATCTTGACCAGAGGTTGGTTATACTTTGTTTCCCTGGATGAAACTGACATTATTAAACTTAGATTTTGTCAAGTTCCATCTTACAGAAATGGTGTCATTCAAAGATTTTCCAACAACATGTCAGAAATGAAAAGGCTCACTGCATGCGACTTTGAAGATATTTTGCAAGTTCATCTTTTCACTTCTTGTGCTGATCAGTGCATCATTGATATCTATTCTAGTGCGCTATGCTGGTCTTCGAAGGGCTTTTCCCTGGGGACCACGATGCAATTATACAGTCACTTCTATATAGGTTTGCACATTGGCACACCCTTGCAAAACTCCAAGTACACTCCAAAACCACTTTGTCAGCTCTGGATAACACATTCAAAAAGCTCTCTGGTCAGTTGCACAGATTCCATGATTTCATGTGCATCACTTTCACAATGATGGAGCTGCCAAAAGAAAGGGCTGCTTGGGAGCGCAGGGCAGCGTGTGAATGTTCAGGTCTCGACAATCCAGATGCTGGGAGCGGCAGTCAAAAGGTTAAGAAGTTTAATTTGAGTACTTATAAATTTCATGCCATGGAAGACTATGTGCAGTCAATTCGACTCTTTGGAACAACTGATTCCTTCACCATGCAATTGTAGGTGAACATGTCATATTTTCTTATCTCGATTTGATTTCAGACTAGGGAGAGTTGGCGCATAGAGCATTAAAAGTGTTCTATCCTCTGACCAGCAAACTAGACACCCCAGCTCAACTCGCTAAACATGAGCGCCATCAACACATCCTACAATGCATAGCAGAAACAGGACAGCATCATGGTTCATATGCTATCCAGCAGGCACCAATCAACTTGCCCTCAGGGTTCACAGGTCATCACTACATTCCAACACTTAGCTGCAACAACCCATTCTATATCTTTAGATTTCTTCAACAATACAATAACAACCCAGCTGTAGCAGTACATGCCCATACTATCCTCTTCACTCATCTTGCTCATAATAACTCATAGACATTCATACTGAAGCTCAAAGATCACATACTATATTGACTTCAGGGGTTAGACATCACCCATTGTGACCATGTCTTCACAGAAGACAAATGCAATACAGTTGTTATCCCAGACAACAAAATATACTCCATCCAAACAATGCAGGTAATGTGTTATGTACATACATTATAAGGGTTTCACTATATAATCCATCAACTAGGTACATTACACAATGTACGACCTTCGACGAGAGTATGACACTATTAATCCTCAGATGCATTCCGACATCATGGTCCTTTCTGGTGAAACAAAACCCCAACACCCTTACTGGTATGCCCATGTTCTGGGCATATTTCACATGGACATACAGTGGCTCAAAAAACTGTCCGCATGTTTTGACATTTTTCACTATCTATGATATTGTGTGAGAACTCACAAATGGCTCAAGGACATGCTTATACCACATTGTAGTATGGCTTCAGGGCTTTCATTTGAGCCCTACGCCGTGGGAATCGGTGGAGATATGGTGGAGATACAAGGCTTACAAAATCATGACTCATGTGGACAGTTTTTTGAGCACATATTAAAACTATATAAATCATCATTTATGACACCATAACAATCATGCCACCATTAAATAAATTATAAAGTGGTGTCATTATGTCATTTTAAAACCATATCTAACTATACAAACCAAAAATTTCCATATGTCATGGTTATATTCACCATGAAAGCCACCCCCCTGCTCAAAGGGATAATATCCTCTCTCTTTCCTATTCTGGCCTCTCTGCTTGTCAAATTTCCTCTAGAACTGGAGTATCCAAGTCCACTGTGGCCAAGTTCATCAAAGAAAGCCACACAGACAAGGAAAACTTCTGTGAAGGGCATCCATCCAAGCTCACCTCTACTGATAGGAGGGCTATTATCCAACATATCACTACAGGAAAGGCTGATAATGCTGTCCAGGTCACCTATTACATCAATTCCACCATCACATTCCCTGTCTCTTCACACACTGTGAGAAACATTCTCAAGACAGCTCATCTCAGGTCAGTAACAAGGAAGAAAAGGCTCTCCTCTCTATCTCACATATGCAGAGAGGACTAGCACCCTTCTTTTTTCACATATATACCTTGCCATCTGACCCAATCCTATTTATTGTGGTCTTATATGATCATATAACATGCTTCCAGTCCATGTAATCCAATTCTGATGGGCTAAGGCAAAGGTTAGTCATCTCTGTTTATGTGTGATGGAGAGGAGAGCCTTTTCTTCCTTGTTACTGACCTGAGATGAGCTGTCTTGAGAATGTTTCTCACAGTGTGTGAAGAGACAGGGAATGTGATGGTGGAATTGATGTAATAGGTGACCTGGACAGCATTATCAGCCTTTCCTGTAGTGATATGTTGGATAATAGCCCTCCTATCAGTAGAGGTGAGCTTGGATGGATGCCCTTCACAGAAGTTTTCCTTGTCTGTGTGGCTTTCTTTGATGAACTTGGCCACAGTGGACTTGGATACTCCAGTTCTAGAGGAAATTTGACAAGCAGAGAGGCCAGAATAGGAAAGAGAGAGGATATTATCCCTTTGAGCAGGGGGGGTGGCTTTCATGGTGAATATAACCATGACATATGGAAATTTTTGGTTTGTATAGTTAGATATGGTTTTAAAATGACATAATGACACCACTTTATAATTTATTTAATGGTGGCATGATTGTTATGGTGTCATAAATGATGATTTATATAGTTTTAATATGTGCTCAAAAAACTGTCCACATGAGTCATGATTTTGTAAGCCTTGTATCTCCACCATATCTCCACCGATTCCCACGGCGTAGGGCTCAAATGAAAGCCCTGAAGCCATACTACAATGTGGTATAAGCATGTCCTTGAGCCATTTGTGAGTTCTCACACAATATCATAGATAGTGAAAAATGTCAAAACATGCGGACAGTTTTTTGAGCCACTGTATGGCTTAATGCTGATGGTTCAATGAAAACACACCATATTGAAGCTCTCTATGTTAGATGGCTAGCCCCATTGACCAGTCACCAGTCAGGGATGAATTGCACTCAACTGCCAAAGGTAGCTTTCATCAAAGAGGCTAACTCCGATGCATTTGGATTTCTCAATCCCAGCCAGGTCATCAGAAGCACACATTTGATTCCAGCTTTTGCTTCTGGACAGGGAACAAGCTCTCTGTGCTATGGAAAGTCATTTGCATGTCAAAATGATGAATTAGACAACTGGGAGGCATATTATGTCAGCATGTAAGTGCAATGTTCAATCTCATTTTCTCTTACTTAAGCTGCAAATCACTCAGATTCACAGATCAAGACATCTTCATGCATTACACACACTGTGGAATCAGACATCCCACCATCATGTGGGAGATGACAAGAGATTATGCTAATGCGGATTTAGCAGACTGTTCCGAGTCAGACTCTGAGAACGACAGAACCGATGACAGGGAGAGCAATATTCAACATCATGGCGAAGGTGACAATGAGGGTGAAGGTGATGATGAGAGTGAAGGTGATGATGACAACAGTGAAGATGAGAGGGATTTTGAAGATGGGGAGGAAACCAAGGAGGATGAGGACAAGGAAGAGGATACTGACTGTTTGTCTTTCTGAACAGTCCTACTAAATGTTTACTTGCCTTGTTCCTCGTCCTATTAGTTGTCACCATATATTGAGCCTGTGCTCTTTCGTTCTACACCTCACTGCCTGAAAACTTTCAAGATGTGGGCCAAGCTCACATGGCCAGGGTCTGCAGTGATGGCGGAACATCACAATTTTGAAATGAGGTGGAATGCTACTCAACATGCATTAGCAATTGTCAAAGGCACTTCTTTCTAGAAGGCCCTGGATAACAATTTAATTTTAAACATAAACCATGTAAAATAAGACATTTCGAAGAAGTTGATAGAATGCGCCATAAGTCCATGCTGGTGTTTGCAGCTGCATCTAATGATATTTCGAAGGGGCATGCAAATGTAAGCCTGTTGACCTGTGCCAAAGTTACCTGTGCTTTGGAATGTATTAGATGACATTGTAATCTGGTGTGTAATTGATTGCAACCAAGGATGTTCAACAGCATTAATGGGAGTACACTCCCATCCCTTGCTGCCTGTGATGGCAATGTCTCATGAATTTGTCACAAACTGACAGGCGAATCTATCATTGCTGGCCCATGCTAAAATGACTGTCCTTGGGAAAGTCTTGAATGATCTCCTAATATGAAGCATAAATGACATCAAGTGAGATTGCTCAACAACATCAATATAAGGGCTCTGTCAACCCTTGTTAGTTGTGATGGCAGCATGTTACAACTTTTTCATGAAGTCATCTTGCCAGTCTATAGTGGTAAGTATACATGGCTAGCTACAAACAAATCAATTTTCTTGTAGTATACATGGTCATCTTTGGGAGTAAAATAATTAGGCCCTCATGTAATTCCCACGGCTACAATATCAAGGACTCAGGTGCTCACTGATGGCAGAGCAGGCGAAAGCCAAGGTGGAGAAACGGCGTCTGATGTGGATAAAACCAAAACTTGGCAAACTTGAAGCACCATTACCAAAGCCAACAATTGTTCACGTTGATGAGGAGGCAGCTGAGGAATCCGAGTCTGATGATGGTGAAGATGGCGAGGACAACTGTTAGGCATTGAGGGTCTGTCATCAATTAGTAATTTCGTAATGCGAACTGATCGCAGAAGTTCATTTACCATTTTCGAGTCGACACAAATGACGGTGTGCAGGTGATAAGGGCTCAAATTTAGTGAACATTCATCGTGCAACAACGACTTATCTGATGTGCTTCAAAATTTGAAACTACGAAGTTTATGTATAATTAAGTTCATCGCCCAAGGCGATTTTCGAAATGTTGCGTTGTTGTGTTGCAGGTGAGTGCATGAAATTTGCAAACGCAAATGCCGCTGTATTACTGTATGTTGCCGAGCAAATTCTGAAAGCGGCAGTAGTGACCTGCTGTGACAAAAGCGTGACCTGACGACTTATGGGGGTGACGACTCAGCCGTGAGGTATAGTATCCTCGCAGAAGCCCACGTGCCGGACTCGAACAACAACCTACCGACGACTGGTCACACTACCGTCTGACGTTAACGGTTAATATATCGTTTCACGAAACACTTGATTCTCGCGACTGGATCCACATACGTCGTCCGTCGAGATCATCAATATCTATTCACTTTGTCGTTCCAAAGTAAGTACGTTGTTCTATCGCATCTTACAATTAGTGTCATAATCTATCGTCAATCCTTGTCAATCAGTCATCAACAGGCTATGTCGGATGATCAGGCTTTCAGTTCAAGTTGGGAGAAGCTGTCCCATGTCTTTGTCAAGGGCGCTGAGTATGACTCTCGTGAACGCCAGCCCCATCCGAGACATTTGGAAGGGTCCTGGGTAGATCTTACCAACTGCGTCAACGCACTATTGGACGACGAAAGCAAGAGCCGACTTATTTGGCTTCATGGGGAGGCGGGTGTCGGAAAGTCTGCTGTTGCGTTCAATGCAGCTGAAAGGATGAAAGGCCTGAAGATAGCAGGTGATCAGAATGTCGAAAAGCGGCTCGCGGGATCTTTCGTTTTCTCGCGCAAACACACGAAACGCTCAACAACTGGATATTTTTTTGCGACACTTGCCTACCAGCTTGTGAGCGCTCATCCTGTCATCCGGAATGACATGGCAAGATGCATCCGGGACAATCCAGCCCTTCTAGACCCCGACAAGTCTCTTCGTGACCAAATGGAAGCACTCTTTCTCTTACCTCTCCGGTGGCTTTGGGCTAGGCTGCGCGGGTGTCCACCTTTGGTGTTTGTTGTCGATGCCCTTCATGAATGTACATCCAAAGTTGAGCTTGCCGATCTCATCACCCTGCTTGCCCAAGTGCTTCGTGAGCCTCGTTTACCCGTGATGCACATCCTGCTCACCAGTGATTCGCAAACCCATATCCGTGAAGCTTTTCAGAAAACAGAGGTGCGCCCCCTGCTGTCTGAGATACGGGCGAGCACTTCTGGCGAGATTCTCGCTATGGACGTGGCATCCCTTAATTCTCGCGTAACTGGAAACTTGTCACACGTCCTTGCTATAAACACGGAACTCCGCAACGCGTGCATAACTGGGGACTTGCTAATCGCTGAAGAGCTGTTAACGCAAGAGATTCAAGGTAGCGGTGTCAACAACTATCAGTCTTATCCAAATCGGTCATTTGTGATGTCGCGGAAACAGGACTGGGACCACGCACTTCAAGACGCACTTGAGGTGCGATTCGTTGATCTATCATGGATCCCCTGCTAATTTTCACTGTGGGGCAGTCCGTCAGTCTCCACTCCTCGTTGACAGGTTATATCTCCAAGGGCATTGCCCTGTGCGGAAAGAATAACCCGCATGATGCGATAAGGGCATTTGACCTCGCATCACTGTTCACGAAAAGTGATTCGGAGACCACTCTTCTTCTCTTGATTGAGGCAAGGACGCCAATTTCTTCTCGCGTATTCCTTACTTCAACACAATCCTCAGGCCGTTGCACTTTTCAATGGAAATCAGCATGAGGACGCAATGCTGCGGGTCCAAGAGTTGGCTGCTGTTTGTCCCAAAACTGACACTCTTGCGTGTCGTGTCGTAGAAGTGAGTTTTATGTATTTTGTGACTTCTGCCAAATCCAGGTTCGTGCGTGACAGAATTTTTCTTAACTCCGCGCGCCAGGCATATCTATGCGTCCTCCTGGGTACCAATGTCTCAGACGGCGGGCGTCACAGCGAAGCTGCTGACCACTTCACCGCAGCTGTCAAGGCCAGCGCTTGCACATCGCAGTTGGACATTCATTCTAAATACCAAGACTTTGTGGTGGTACGTGAACACAACGCAACCGTGAGTTTTTGTCCATGCCTAACGGCGTGCGTTGTCTAGCTTTTCGGGTGGGACCTCGAGTCCTTGTGGCAAAATGCAAACAAGAAAAAGTGCGATGCACTCCTTCGCGCAGGCAGGCTTGGAGAAGCAGTCGAATCGCACCGATACATGATGGATATGAGTGACGAAACTATGAAGGCGAGCTGCCTTGAATGGTCTACTGGCAAGTCTTCATTAATGTCGCCCGGGCTACAATCCTCACGCGCATATAACTTAGCATTCATGCGAGAATGCAACGCGCTCTATGCTGCCAATGGAGTTGTTGAGCTTGGTGCGAGTGGAGATGCTGCCTTTGCTGAGAAGGACTACGACCGGGCCATTGAACTGTACTCAGCGGCGATCGAGCTGGACTCTGCAACCGATACCATCTTTGCAAACCGAAGTAAGGCGAGGTTGTTGAAAATGCTATGGGAGGATGCACTTCTCGATGCGGAAAAGGTGCGACGGCATCTGTTTCACAATAAGCTATGCTTACTTCAGACATGGACAGGTCATCGAACTCAATCCTTCGGCTTATCTTGGATACCAGCTAAAGCACGAGGCGCTTCATGGAGCGCAATGTTACGACGAAGCCATCGAAGCTTTCCAAATCATGTTGCTAAAACTGGATGAGGCTTCCGACTCGCAAATACAAAGTAAGCCCCGAGTAACACACGTGTCACATACCTGACTCTTCGTCCAGAGCTGTACCAACACTGTATCAGTCCATTTGAAGCAGAAAGCACTATCCGACAAGTTCTCCATGCTCACCTCGACAATGCCCCACTTCGTCTAATCAACACATCCGATGGGTGGTTATGTGATCGAGAGGCCCAGACACATGCTTTCAAGACGAGTGCAGAATACAAGGAGCTGTTGGCATCTATAATCAAGAATGCGGAAATCAAATTGGAGCACATCCGAGACGTGGTGGCCAAGTACTTTCATTGGGTCATGCTATCACATAGGTGGGGAGAAAAGGAGCCGCTGCTGCATGACATCCAAGACAAGGTCGTGTACGAATTGGATCCAGTTGACAGCACCACGAAGTTGCAGTCATTCTGCGAAATCACTCGTGACGCGGGCTTCCTATGGGCGTGGATGGACACGTGCTGCATCGACCAGAAAAACAATGTCGAGCTCCAAAAATCGGTCAACTCCATGTTTGTTTGGTATCACAACTCAGCGCTCACAATTGTCTATCTGTCGGACGTTCTACCTTCATCCAAATCTTGTACGTTGGCCAGGAGTGCTTGGAACAAGAGAGGATGGACAGTCCAAGAATTCTTGGCTCCTAAAGTCATTCTTTTCTATCAACAGGATTGGACCCTATACGTCGACCACCAGTCTACCAACCACAAGGAGTCTACGGCGATCATGCAGGAGTTGGGAGATGCTACAGGCATAGATTTACGGTCCCTCATCACATTCCGTCCGGGGATGAGAAACCCCCGAGAGAAACTCCAATGGGCATCGACGCGTATCACCACGTTGCAGGAAGACATCGCGTACTCATTATTCGGCATCTTCGGCGTCCACCTACCAGTAATGTATGGTGAGAACAAACGAAATGCGCTCGGGCGGCTCTTGCAGGAGATTGTTGCTCATTCGGGTGACGTCAGTGTGCTCGACTGGGTCGGGAAATCATCCGAATTCAATAGCTGTTTGCCAGCGGAGATCACTTCATATCAAGCCCCGCCATGGTCGCCATCTCTTTCCGAAGATGATATTCAGACGTCTGTCTCATCGCTGCAAGATGCTGTGGTTGTAGAGATGGCTTTGGGATTGTACCGTGAGCTTGGCTCCCTGAGGGCTGCTCGTTTCGCGCACCGCCGGCTGCATGTGCCTTGCATCGCATTCCTCGTCACCGAAGTCAGAGGGAAACCTGGTCTAAACCAGGGGGCCAATTTCACGTATCAAGTCAAGGCCAAAGGGCTTCATGATTTGTTGATCACCACAGAAGACAAGCTGACCCAGTTTTGGCCTGGGAGACCGGCTCTGCAAACATTCTATCTTGTTCGTCCATGGAATCGTGATCTCCTGGAGCTGCCTGACTTTGCGGAGCTTCCCAGCCACGCAGAGCCTCCCCCTTCTCCCGACGCCTCGCAGAGCATGGAAGAATGTTGGACCTCACCTGGGCCTTCGTTAGACGATATTGTTCCTGTGCCCCCAGGAGAAGAAGGGACGGTTGATTCGGAGTCTCACTCACAAAGCTTACGATTGATTGTTCATCTTGGACAGCCATTTAGCGCATTTTTGCTAGCACGGCAACGCGGCGGAGAATACAAGAGAATTGCGTCAGATCATGTTATCGTCGCACAAGTCAGAGACATTACCTCTATTTGCGATACTATAGATGTCAAGACACTAGAGATATTGTAGTGTACACAATGCACATTGTAGATGAAGATACCTGACTGGTCGACCCTGTGTTACATGTATGCACCCACAATATTTGCACCTGTACCTCGACCATCTTGAGATCTTCAACAACAGACACGAAGTTGCAGCAAATTCGGAATACCGTTGAATATTTGCTTGCACATGTGCATGATGGGCTATCAAAGTGCTTATCCCCACCGACGATGGATTCTAGATTACATATGTTGCCACGATTGGCACAAGCATGGCATGTGCGTAGTGCTCGACTTGCCGCATGCACATCTGGGGAGAGCCACCAAACGACCTGTTCGTATACTCAATATGCTAGCCCTTCATCTTTCCCCTACAAATTCCTCACTAGTGACTCCACGCTCTCGCTAGTCAATGATTATAAGGAAGGACTGCCTCGGATATGAGAAATGACAACGGACTCGATTACGCGTGCTAATATCTATTAATTATTATCTATAGTATATGTTACTAAAGAAACAGCAACCTGGCCTCCTTCGTTCTATGTCATAGCAATGCCTGAGTCGCCAACGCTTCTCGTATCTTCCCCTCCTCCTGCGCCCATGTTGGAGACGCGATCCTAAATGCATCTCCAATGCGCGCATATGAGATATCGCCCACGCGCGCGACAGGCTTGAACTTTCTGAGGTCGATGACACCTCTCTCTGTGAGCATGTCTTTGCGCACGTGGATGTACTTGACGTGCGCGAGGATCAGCGTGCTGGTGTGCTCGCCTGTGACTGGGTGCGCGATATCTATGCATTTGAAGAGCTGTTTGGGAGCCGGCGTGGTCAGCGAGCGAGCGCGCTAGGCATGAAATGAAGTTACCTCGCACTCCATGCTAAAAGCGCTTTCCTTGATGCGGGAGGCTCTAATTTGCACCTGAACAACTTGTTGTCAGCGCGTATCTCGCACCACAAAGGTGCATGCGTACGCATTTTTCCTTCGTCAGGCCACTGATACTCCACTCATCGAAACCGGGAGGAGCATCTATGGCGGTTGCATTTCCATTCTCGATGAATGGCTCGCTGACAATGTTCACGCTAAATCCTTGGCTATTCTTCAAGTTCACGGCTGTGTCCTTGAGACTGCCCAGGGCGTTGTTGTTGCACGCAAATGAGATGATAGGCGGGTAGTTCGTGACCTAGTACGAAAAGAGATTATTTAATCGATGAAGAGACATGTTTTTGTGTATTGCTCACTGTGTTAAACCAACTGGTGGATGAAAGCAGGGTAAGCGTGCAGAGCGCGTTAGATAGCGGAAGCGTGTCTTACCTGTAGGGTGCCAAGTTCTCTATGCCCTCCTCATTGATCGTGGACACGAATGCGATGGGGCGTGGTACGATGCCCGAATTCAAGAGCTTGTTGATATCACTGTCGATCGCGGTCACAATCACGGCTGAGCGACAATTCGAAGAGTACGTACACCTTATCTATTTCTGCTGTGTTATAGACTTTCCACCCAGCAGATTCGCCTGCGATCCAGTCTTTTCCAGCAGGAGTGGCGTCGACTCTCTGACCATATGTCCATGATGGATTTGGTGATTGGGTGTAGGTGGAAGAGGTGGTGGAATCGAATGGAGGGATGAACATGGTGGACTAGCTTGATGAAAACAGGGAGACTGACCTTGGATTTATATCCAGTTACATGGTTGCAGGTAAAGGCTGGTTTTCACAGATACGAGGTTGATAGCGCGCTGATCCGCGATGGTGTCCAACAGTCCGAGTACATGCTTGAAATTGCTTACCATAGTTGCTTACTACTGAGCACGTGCACAGCTTCTAACTTACATAATACTTAGCGCGATGATCGCCCTGTGCAACGCTGACACACCCCTTATCCTTTGTATTCGCTCCATCCCTTATTGGACCTCATCTTCTTCTGTGTCTTTTCTAGATTAGCAACTCTTTGTCTTTGTTCCGCTCAGTTGGCAGCATCCATCACGACGGCATACATCCTAAGCAATGAGAAATGAATTTAGGTTCCGACATCAGTGCCTCTCCGCACCACCCCCTTTGCAAGCATTCCGACTTCGAGTTAAACCTCCAGGGCCCTCTATGGAAGCTTATGTGTCAGAGAGTTTTGAAAACTTGATAACATGATGTGCGTCCGCATGACATACAATCGAAGTCTGTCAGGCAATACAGCAATTAAACACAGACAATCGAGGTGCTTTCAGTGGTGCATCTTCACAGGAGTGGTCGCCCGGAAGGAAATCTTGGTCAGCAACTGCAATAGAATAACTTGTTTTATCCTCTGATTCAAAGGACCTGTACTGACATTTTCAAGTAAGAGAGCACTCCTGCTTCCAATTCAGGAGACAGAACCTGCGACGGAAGAAAAACGACTAGCCTTGACGAAGACGGGCGCGAAACTCCTGATGATTGGACGTGACGCGTTAGTTATTATGCTATCACGGATATCGACTCAATTTGGCAATGTGGTATATCCTGGCACTGCTCGCGGGTACGCCGGCGATATATCCCATTGCCAATTGCAGTGAACCCTTCCAGAGACACGGTGAACTCCAGGTTTCTGCGACATAATGGCGGACGTTGGTATCCCATTGGTAAAACCTCAATGAAACTAACAACAATCTGTTTCTATAAGGTGAGTTTACCCACGACTAACACCATCTGATTGGGCGCTCGACCCTTCCTGATATTGGAATTTGTAATCGCAGTCGTAGTCATGGACAAAAACCATGTTTAGCGTGAGACAGCAATGACTTTGTATAAGTGCAATTTATGTGATGCGCGTGTGCCAAGTATTACTCAAGCCCTGGTGGGTCAACGCTTTCAACTGGCACTGACAAGCTCCTATTTTTTCATACCAATGTTGGGAGTGGTATATTTATGATTCCTCGAATCACAGGAGAGTCGTGGTATGCACTAACAGCCACCTGGACTCAGAGGTGCCGTCTAATTCATACCCTTCCCATCCCTCCCTCGACCGCTTCCCTATCCTGCGCAGAAGATCAGGACGGTGCGAAGGTTTGGCTTCGCGCGTTCGAAGCCTCCAAAACTATCCAGAAAGATCTAGTCGAAGTTACTTTCTCTGGCAGTTCAGGTCCCGGAGGGCAGGTACTTTCATATTGCCCGTTTTCCTTGTGAGACTGCGGTGTACTTAATTGATATTGGTTAGAGTGTCAACAAGGTGGAGACCGAGGTTTCTGCGCGCTATCGCGCAGATGCACCTTGAATAACAACATGGGCGCGCAGGAGTCTCGCGAGGACGGTGATTTGTGGAGCTCGTCATGCGATTGTCATACTGAAACTAGTATTTCATTTAAACCATACTACATCAGAACATCGCATTCTTTACTGGTTTCATCTAGCGCGTCTCGTTCGTAAGCACGAAACATTAATATTGGTGATTCTGTTGGCATACAAGTCTGTTCAACTTGTCGACTTTGTATCTCAAACTGAAGATAAATTCATTTCTTATTTCTCAGGATACATGCTGCCGTGATGGATGCCGCCAAGAACTTCATTATAGCCCATGAGCGGGACAAGACAAAGACAAAGGATTGCTAATCTAGAAAAGACACACGACAATCGAAGGAGATTGGAGAAGGGTAAACACAGCGTCTTGAAGAAGATGCAAGGTCCAATAAGGGATGGAGCGAATAGAAAGGATAACGATCAGTATTATGTAAGTCAGAAGCTATGCACGTGCTCAGTAGTAAGCAACTATGGTAAGCAATTTCAAGCATGTACTCGGACTGTCGGACACCATCGCGGATCAGCGCTATCAGCCTCGTATCTGTGAAAACCAGCCTTTACCTGCAACCATGTAACCGGATATAAATCCAAGGTCAGTCTCCCTGTTTTCATCAAGCTAGTCCACCATGTTCATCCCTCCATTCGATTCCACCACCTCTTCCACCTACACCCAATCACCCAATCCATCATGGACGTACGGTCAGAGAGTCGACGCCACTCCTGCCGGAAAAGACTGGATCGCAGGCGAATCTGCTGGGTGGAAAGTCTATAACACAGCAGAAATAGACAAGGTGTACGTACTCCTCGAATTGTTGCTCAGTCATGATTGTGACCGCGATCGACAGTGATATCAACAAGCTCTTGAATTCGGGCATCGTGCCACGTCCCATCGCATTCGTGTCCACGATCAATGAGGAGGGCATAGAGAACCTGGCACCCTACAGGTAAGACGCGCTTCCGCTATCTAACGCGCTCTGCACGCTTACCCCGCTTTCTTTCACCAGTTGGTTCAACACAGCGAGCAACACACAAAAACATGTCTCTTCATCGATTAAATAAACTCTTTGAATACTAGGTCACGAACTACCCGCCTATCATCTCATTCGCATGTAACAACAATGCCCTGGGCGGCCTCAAAGACACAGCCGTGAACTTGAAGAACAGCCAGGGGTTTAGCGTGAACATCGTCAGCGAGCCATTCATCGAGAATGGAAATGCAACTGCGATAGACGCTCCTCCTGGCTTCGACGAGTGGAGTATCAGTGGCCTGACGAAGGAAAAATGCGTACGCATGCACCTTTGTGATATTATTGTATGCGCTGACAACAAGCTGTTCAGGTGCAAATCAGAGCCTCCCGCATCAAGGAAAGCGCTTTTAGCATGGAGTGCGAGGTAACTTCATCTCATGCCTGGCGCGCTCGTTCGCTGACTACGCCGGCTCCCAACAGCTCTTCAAATGCATAGACATTGCGCACCCAGTCACAGGCGAGCACACCAGCACGCTGATCCTCGCGCATGTCAAGTACATCCACGTGCGCAAAGACATGCTCACAGAGAGAGGTGTGATCGACCTCAGAAAGTTCAAGCCTGTTGCGCGTGTGGGCGATATCTCATATGCGCGCATTGGAGATGCATTCAGGATCTCGTCTCCAACATGGGCGCAGGGGGAGGGGAAGATACGAGAAGCGTTGGCGACTCAGGCATTGCTATGACAGAACGAAGGAGGCCAGCTTCTTGTTTCTCTAGTAACATATACCATAGATAATAATTAATATCCACGCATAATCCAGTCGGTTTCCATTTCTCATCCTGAGGTAGTACTTTGTTATAATTGACTGGCAAGGGCGCCGAGTAACTAGTGAAGAATTTGTAGGGAAAGATGAAGGGCTGACATATTGAGTGTACGAACACGTCGTTTGTGCTCTCCCCAGATGTGCATGCCGCGAGTCGAGTACTACGCATATGCCATGCTTGTGCCAATCATGATAACATAGTCTAAGAATCTGGATTTCGGAATTGATTGGAAGGTTTTTCCACCAAGAAAGGCCGTCTGCTTGGCCACCAGCGAATGGAGCTAATGACTGATTATAGGCCTGCAGATGGCAATAGATATCAGCATGCACATGTGATCAAGTCCGTTGCTATTCCTTATCCCTAAGGTAGTCCTTCCTTATAATCGATTAGCAAGCCCCGTGTCTTACTTTAACCTAGTCATTACGGTACCATCGGCGAACAGGGGATCTGTGGGGATAGGCACAATAGCTATTATCGTCAAGTGACTCAAAAAAAAACTGCTGAGCACATCTATAGCAACAAATTACAGATTCCTAAATACTTTACTCAGCGCCCCTGGCCTCGGGATACAACTCATGTGCCACCTGATCTGCAATGGCCTCCTCATGGTCAAGAGGCCCGTGAGGTTTCCGATGATCGTCAGCATCCTCACCCAGTTCCACCTCCATCTCTTTTCCCAGGATGCCGATGACTTCAGGACGCGCCTTATCCTCTGGCTCACCGGTAGCACTCACGCCACCTACTTGCACCTTAACCTCCTCATTTTCTTCAGCTACCACTTCGGCTGCTGCATTGGTCGGTTCAAATGCCACCACGCTTATCTCCTTCTCATCCACATTGATAACCGGCACATCTTGTGACGCAATCCTCTGGCTCTTCATTTCCATCTGTTTGTCCTTGGCAAATACATCCCGCCCGGGTTCCGGCACACCAATAGGGACGGCGGTACTCTGTTCGTCTTCAGGTGGCACAGCCCCATCTTGCCCGAGTTTGTCCTCGACCACGATGGCCGCGCGCCCGCCGGGCTCACCGCCAATGGTTGCCATCGGGGTGGTCCGGTTCGGGGTGGGAACAGTGACGCCTGAATACTGAGAGTACTGTTCGGCGTTTAGCCAGAGTGCTCCATGAATTATATAAGACTCACCTCATCTAAAAACTCGTTACTAACAAACGCTCGTCAAAATCCAAACTCCTGATGCAACATCCGAGACTCACCAGGCAAAGTCCCAAGTTTTTACCCATTGTGCGTCCGTGCATTTCTTTTTCGTCCAAGGATCGCCATACGTCAGGGAACTGAACTTCGAGTATGTAATGACCGCTATCACCATAAGGACGGCAGCGATCTGTAACCGAATCTTGGGCCGTAGAGTCGATGTGGCGAGGTCGAAAACAGCGCAGTTAAGTAGAATTGCAAAATACAGCGCAGGGAAGTAGTGGTGTAGGAAAAGTTGACGGCCCATGAGGAAGAAGGGGAAGTAATGCATGCAATACCCGATAAAGAGAAAACCACAGAGGGAATCATACTTGACAACCTTGGCTAAAACAGGTTACCTGGATCAGCATGACACTAGAGCGAACTGCGCTAATCCTCACTGTTGTCAAAATCGCGGTATCCTCTCTTCGCGCGAAGTAGGAGGAAGCCTCTGACGATCATATATGTGATGATCGAAGCCGTGCTTGACCACCAAACAAATGGATTGCCGATTAAGTAGATCTGGCGATGATCCTTGACCCAGAAATTCTAATATACAACTAATCAGATATGAATCACAACTTCAATCGTACAACTCACAATACCACGTCGAAGACGAGGCCAAGTCAAAGGTCGAGAGTCATACATGTGACGGTCGGTCAATCCAGCATTCGTTGTCCACATGACCCGCTGCAGCTCCCAGAATTTGGACAAGAATCCAGGAATCTTGTAATTGACCTTTGGAGCATCGGTTGATACTATGAAAGAAGTGGTTCTGAGAACACAGCCGATGACAAGTGATACAAATACCTTACGTTGGGGATGCTTTGTAGCAGTCTCGACGTACCATAACGAGTTGGCCTTGACAGCGTTCTTGTTGCACGTGACCTCCTGCTGATCGAAACCCCATTCAGGGAGTTTCACCTTGTGCGAGAAGAGGTAGCAGCCTGTGTTGAGGTGCCTGAGCTTGAAATGCGTTCTTAGCGTCCTCAAGCGCTTGCTCGACTCCTTATCACTTCTGTCGCCCTTTTCAATCTCAACAACCCAGTCGTCGTTGATGTCGCCAACAAAGCCAGTCAAGCCGTACGCTGAAACCTCGTTCTGGAAGTCGACATCCGAGACGGGCGGGCGGACTTCGTGCGAATGGAGGGCCTTGTCGGTCACGATATGCCTTAGCTTGATGCGAGAGCCGTGGTCAATATACACGATAGGCTTGTGCTCGTAGTCGTACTGTTCATAGCCATCAACTGTTGCGTTGAGCACTCGCCATAGATTATTATCATCCCTATGCGGGTAAAGTGTGATTTGTTGCTCTGTCAAGCTATTCAATGGGAGATGAGATAAACAAAGGTCACACGTACGTGCACTTCCTCCAGGGTAGTTGTGAGCATGGGAGTGCAGATAACCGCCTTGTGTGTTCAGATGTCGGATTGTGATATCTGAACCAAGAGCAACATCTATAATAACATGAAATGAGCGTATCTATGTACATCACCGCAATACACGTACCTGCGTACGTATCCTCCATCCCGCGCCCCAGTGTCTGCCTGAATTCCGAGCTCATGAACGCGTCACCCTCTCCTGAGCTTCCAAGAATAAGGAAATGCAGCTGAAACATGGTCATGTAGAAAAGGATAGGAATCAAGATGAGACAGAGAGCCCGCGCGAAGAAATGCCTCGCCCACATCCTTGGACTGACACGAAGATCGCCCAAGAGAAGCCACAATCGCAGGATAGTGCACACACCAACCGTCGCAATTGTAAAAAGACCAACCCATTTGCAGGATACGACAGCGCCCAGGGACAGACCAGTCAAAATAAGCCATGTCCACCACTCTGTGCTAAATGGTTCTTTCTTGTCCTCATTCGAAAACCCCACAAAAAGGAAGATGGTGAGGGCCGTGAAAAATACGAGGGGAGAATCCAGCAGGATATGACGAGATTGTGTGACTAGTCCATTCTCGAATGTCAGAAATATTGATGCTAGTAGTGCGGTGGTTGCGCGACAGTCGAGGGCTCGTAGGGTGAGATATGCGATTGGGACAGTTGCGACTCCAAACGTAGCAGGTACCATTCGCATAGCCACATATGGCACATTGTCAAAGACCCTAGTTAATACATGCTCAACAACGGAAATATATCGTTTCTGACACACTCACTTGCCAATCTCCTTGAAGTCAAAATCGCCGTTGAAGCCAGATACGAAGGCCGCCGCAGTGATCAACAACTTTGCAAGTGGAGGGTGCACGTCGACGAAATACCGCGTCTTGATATAGCGCGCTGCAAACTTACCAAAGTGCACCTCGTCGAAACTGGCGGATAGGTCAGATGGACAGAGTGAATATTTGGTACACTCACACCACACTATCTGGTTTCGATAGTCGGAACATCCTGACGCCAGTTGCAATTAGAAGGACAACCGCCAGCAGTTTCCATTCCCCCGATGTGATGTTGAGACCACCTGGTGAATGACTTCTTTGACCAGGTCCGTACCCCTTGGAAGCCGCTTCACGTCGTTCATCTGCGCTCAGGTGGTCTTGTCGTATTGGCGGATATTTGTGGGATGAAGGAACAACATGTGGAAGACCGGGCGGCGGAGAAGCTGGACGCCGCGCTCTGACATTGGCGGCCATAGCCTAAAGCACAAAGACAAAACGAGATAATGGAAAAAATGCACTGAATGAAGGGAAGCGCTAGATACCAGCTATGGAAAGTAGGAAAATACGCTTTGGTAGTGAATAACACTGCGGCAGTTGTTTGTTCTTGTTGAATTTACAAGGCTTTAGTACACATATGAAAACAACCTCGCACATGTTTCTACAAAAGTGCTTTTATGAACTAGGTTATATATCAAGTAAGTATTTATGGGAATCAGCATTGTGTCTATTCGTAATTAGGTAAGATGTGATTAACTTATTCGGGTTCCTCATCTTCAGATTGCTCGGCTTCAGATGCTTCCTCTTCGCTCTCAGACTCCTCGCTCTCTTCTTGACGAGGAACAACAAGAACCGATGTGCCTCCGTCTTTCGTGACGCGAGCGCGTGTCTTCATGATCAGGTAACGTCTTCCAAATTGGCTCATCTTCAAGACAGTCGGGGTATCTCCTTCAGCTCTCCTTCGACCAGGAATTTCTGCATCCTGGGGAAACACGCCAAGCCCTGATGGCGCAAGAACAATCGCCTGGCCAGTCTGGATGTGCGCGGTGCATTAGCGGAGCACCCCTGTTTCAAGCGTTTGACGTACCTGGAGCTCAACAATCGTGTCAAATGCTGCATCGACAGATACGTCAGCAGAGATGTGCCGTGCGAGGTGGTCCCACCACGCCGGAGAAGAAAATCGATGCATGATAGCGACGGTACACAAGTCTAACAGAACGGGTGGCACAACAGTTGGCTCTATGTTTTGTATGAGCATTGCTTCTCCGTCTGACTGAGGGCTGGAATTACCTTGGGTAGAAATGATGACACGCATCCCTAAATGCCTCTGCTCTCTCGTGAGGGTCAAAAGGGCCTTGGTTAGCCCTGAAACACCTCTGTTTGTGGACAAGTACTATAGTACGTTAAAACGGTACAACTTCAAAGAGATATCGAGCGAATTACCTTGTGGGCCTCATCGACGACAAGAACCTTTCCAGTCTCAACCTCAGCCCTCACAAATAGCCTCGTGACGATCTCGAATAAACCGCACGCAGAGCCTGGGTCAATGAATGGATCCGATAAATCAACAATGGTCAATTGTCCCGCAGCGAAACGACGCGAGGTCGATTTTCGAGCAATAACATTTGATCTAGGCCCACTGATATTGGCGTATGTCCTTGAACCAAAAGTGGCTGGCTGTGGACGATTAGACTCCATGAACGAGTTCAGGAGAGTCAGACGCTGCTCAAGACCAGCAATTTGCGCGGGGTTGAACGTTCTCTTCTCTTCGTCAAGTCGCTCCATGAATAGGTTGTACGAGAATCTCTCTCCCAAATCTCGGAGAATGCTCTGGAAAGAAGCAGTCAGACTATATAACACATCCTGGATGGATTATCATTTATAACTTACGAGAACAATCTGGATGTAAAGTGGCGCTGAATCTGACGACCCAACAGCCATCATGGATAGAAAAGCTTGTGCATCCAACTCTGTCTCGTTGAATAGTAAGGGAATTACTTCGACGTTCTTTCCGAGAGGAGCGTAAACACCCTTCATAGTATTGAGGGAAGACTTTGACACGAAAACTCGCACTTTCGGCGTCCTTACACCCTCCGTTGACGGGGCGCCTACCCATGCAGCCTCACTCGGAAGGGAACAGATACCACCTTCCCCAAAGTGGAGAACGAGTCCTGCTAGAGGCTGCTGCAGGGAGCCTATTTCCTGGAGTTTTGGAATGAGCATGTTTTCGAGGAGGACCGAAACCGTATGTGATTTTCCCGAGCCTTGTACTCCACACACTACAGCAGTGAATGGTGTATTCTAGGGAGCTCATGAGATACATAGGCTAATTATTGATTTGAAGCACTCACCGTGTTGACATAGAGTCTAGGATCTACAGGGACGTAGGCACTTGATTTCGAACTTGATACCGAACATGAATATTAGGGACCAGAAAGAGAGAAACGACATACTGTATTGACAACACCTGACCCATCACTCCATATTGTGTGGAATGTTTCTTGTATCTAGCAGTGATATACGCTTCTCTCGTGATGAGAGGCGCGGTCTGTAGTTCGTGGTCCTTACTGAGGTCTGACGTGTCTACTGTCAGACTCTGGAGATGCTTCAACTCCACCTGCATCGATGAGAATCAGGAAGCCGACAGGTATAGGAGGAACAAACTTTTGCAGCTTTCACTGTGTCAAGGTCATAAATGGGCTCGTCGATTGCTTCCGCGGGTTCTACACAAGTGTCAATATTACCGTCCTTTGCCTGTCAAAGGAGATATTAGATTGCATAAATTCACAAGGTACAACCTGCATATACCACATGGAGTCCCTCGGTCTTGGCTGACTTGGCTGCTTTCGGTGATAGGGTCGTTCCGGGGGTCGACCTATCAGTTCTCGAAGGAAGCTATGAGATTTAAAGCCTCAGTAACAGACCGATTGATACAAAAACACAGTTGGTTACATTAGTCCTGAACGTAAAGGGAACTGGTTTCGTCGATGTTGAAGTCTTGCGAATGGCCGAGGCCACACCCGATGCAAGCGGAGGTTGCCTGGAAGGCTGACGGGCAACAGCTTTCCGCGATGTTACCTTTCCCGCCTGGCTCCTCGTAACTGTTCCACTCGGAGGCGGGGTCAATTCAGGACGTTCAGCAGAAAACTGTAAGACCCGTTGGCGAAGTTATATTCAAATGAATCTCAACCTGCACGCACCACAAACTAAATCAAAGTTGAATAAATATAATGGAGCTATCAAATCAAGTAGGATAAAAAAAATCACACTGACCATCGAGCCAGTAAGACTGATTTGTGTCGTCAAGGGTGAGTTTGGGTGTTGGACAGGGCCTCAAGACAAGGAGGGAATTTTGGAACAGGGTCAAGATTATCCGTGACGGAAAAATGCAGAGACGCGTTTATATATATTAAATTAGGACACCGCGACGCGATCACGTGCTGGATATTAATTTCCTCGTGAGGCTGGGTCTGGCTGGGCCTAGCTAGTTACTCCGAGAACGGTAGTGACCCCAACGGCCTAGCCTCGAGTCAGTAGCTGATGAACCGATCTAGAGAAACTAAGTATATCGCGAACTTGAAGGCCATTCCGCGGTGCCGAACATGGAGTTACAGTCGAGCATTCAACTTGCCCCCGCCTTCACTGGTCATGATGCAGCACAGGCTGGCGAGAGAAGGATGCAATCTATGATTCATAAAATGCTCATTTCATTTATTCAAGACGCGAACAATTATCCGGCTGCAGCGTCTTTGAGAAGATATCATTATTGCACTCGGCCACTTTGGTGCAAGCGACCACGACTTCCTCCCCTCTCTAGGAGAAAGTGATTGGAGTGAGAGAACTTCAATTGTCCTCGCATGTGACCTGCGCCGTGTTGAATGGCGACCGAAACCATCAAAGGACATGATGCGCCCCTGTGAATATGCTGAGAAGCTGAAACACTTCAACACCTAAATAATACGGCATCCACGTGCTTTCCCCGCCTCCTCAGGTGACTACAACAGTACCAACATGTCGCCCACATCGAACTTGCTGGAATGCGAAACTCTACTTGAACCTGACCAACACTATCCCCTGTACATCGCTGCCAAGAAATATTGGCTACCGGAATTTGAAGCTCACTGGGACGACGAGGAAGCAGTCACACTTGTTTTGCTTCATTCGACCAGCTTTCATAAAGAGACTTGGCAGCCTACCCTGGAACGTATCTTCCAGTGTTCTTCAGCTTATTCCAGAAATTCATCAAGACCGTTGAAGATCAAATGCGCATGGGCAATTGACTGCCCAAACCATGGTGTATCTGCTGCTTTCAATGATGACGCACTTCGTCAGGCACCTTTCTACCGCAACTGTGAGTCCCTTTGATTGCATGATAGTAGACAAGCAGTTGAACTGGCATAGTCGGGTGCCGCAGATATGCAGATGCTGTCCATAGATTTATGTCTGCTGGACCAAAGTTCAGACCCATGTTTGACTTCAGAAGCCAGCGTCTTGTCGGAATAGGTCATTCTCTTGGTGGGGTTGCTATGTTAGCCTCTTATTCTTCACAACATGCGTGCTCTCGATTCACAGGTCTTGTGCTAGGACCATATTGCAGAACCTTGAACCGGCCTTCAAATTTTCATCTGTCATCCTCGTGGAACCCATGCTCAGTCCAAATGCAGAGGCAGTGGAGCCATTACGCCGGTTTCTTATCAAAAATGCATACGAACGAAGAGACGTTTGGCCTTCTCGAGAATACGCGTACCAGAACCTGAAATCAAGAAGGCGATGTAAACGCTGGGACCCACGTATCCTAGATTTGTATATTGTACTGCATCCTCTTATCGTCCTGTTATATTGTCACCCTGATAACCTCGCAGAAATTTGGACTCCGGACTCACCCAGGTGCGCATCACCTGCAAGCACCCTACGATGGTGTCAGCTTAGCATGCTCACGTGATGAAGAGGTGGTAAGCGACCAAGATCCTCCGTGAAATAGTCGACCCTACTGAGCTCCATTTCCAGACGATGTACAGAGAACCAGACGGTGCAACCAAACCAGTGCAGGACTTGGACAAAATTTGCCCACGCATTCCTGTTAGCATCGTGTTTGGAAGCGACAATGAGTACATGTACGCAGTTCCACAAACCCAAGCTTAATCCTTGACGGACGGATATGCGGTGCTGTAGACCCCGCGCAGTGCAGAATGCCCTGATTGATCCGGCTTCTGGCAGGCGTTTTTCCTCTATCACACGGATCGACGGAGCAGGACACCTGGTATGCAGCGCAATCTTTACTCTTCTGACATCAAGTAATCATCTTTCACCAGGTGCCTCAGCATGCACCTAATCAACTCGGAGAACAGATATTCGATATTTTGTCCACTTCTCTCACATTATTTTCTAAGCTATAATTTATCACTATCTACGTTCATTGGACACAGTTGGCTGTCGATGACACAGACACTCGGACAGCTTCCAGTCTTGCCCATTCGCCCATCGGGCTACCATCCTCACCGACGATACCTCTCCACTGTAGTAGCCTGCCTGTCAAGGTATCCCATTTCACGAACTTTTCGTCAAGCGTCATACTGGCTTGCCATAAGTCCTCGACGATACCACCCCACGCACGCAGGGGATCAGGTACTGGTGGTTGGATATGCAACCCATGACCGTGGTATGGCGGCTTAGAAGGGATGGCAGGTCCGTTGACAGAACTAGATTTACTGAAATCTATGCAAGGCTCCAGCTGTTCGAGAATGTTGATTGCGGTCATGAAAACATGCGACAGATGAAGAGCTGAGGTCTGGGATGCTAGACTTAATCGTAGCGTTACGCGAGCGGCTTGTTGTAGGATGGGGAGCGATGGCGCTGCAGGAAAAGAGAATGAGCCTCAAAACGAAGTGAAAACAAGGCCCATACCACTGCAATTCTGTAAAACCAGCGACAAGCATCTACACAGAGCATCTTGCCACTGACCGTTCGTAGCCCGCTGCAGTTTCGCAGTATTGGCTGTGATCAGAATGTTTTCAAGGATCCTTAGCCAAGCAAGGGTGTCTTCGTTGCTTTGTGGCAGTTGTACTTGCATCTCGATCCAGGATAGAAGAGATGACTTCAAAACGAGAGAAGTCGTTGCCTGGGCATTAGAAGTCAGGTTGGCCAGCACCTGTAAAATAAGTTGAATTAAGGATTGACAAGAGTGTTGGCGCCACGGACCTCCAGTACTGCGCGTCGCAACGCTTGATCGCGAACTGAGCTCTGAACAAGACTGGAAAGAAGATCCCATGTATGTCGACGTTTAAGCACCTTCCAATCTTCTGTACTCATCATGCCGTCAGACAGGAACCTAAGGATCCATCCACGCTCTTTCTTCCAGTCATCCGAACTGCCGTAGAGCATGCCATATAGCATTGGGACATCAGTTACGTCAAGTTCTGGGCGCTGAAGAAGGAAGCGCGCCGTGCGTGGGTAGATGAAGTTGGAAGGATAAAACACCCCACGAAGAGCGTGAGATAGAATCAATGATGCAAACGAAGGCAACCGTAAAGGAGGACCATCGGATGAGGGCTTGATAAGGTTCTTCAGGAGGTTAAAAATGTACAGCGCGTGCTGCTTTTCTTGCATATCCGAAAGCTGGCAAGGAGTGAGCATCCCGACGCCTTAGAAAAACGAATAACAAGATAACATACGAACCTCCACAGATTTCCACACCCTTGCCAACAAGCCGAGCGAGGCTTCACGAATCTTTTCATCTTTTGCAGACAAACACCGGATGAGCAAACTGAAAACGTTCGATCGGAACGTTTGCACCCATTCGAGCGACGAAGCTGGAGGATGATGCACAAGCATCTGGGCAACGAACAGAGTCACGAATAGTGGATCGTAAACCTGCTCATCCAGGCCAACTTTCTCGTCCTCCTGTTCGCCTGACATACGTCTCCATATCGGGAATACATGACAGGTTCTCAACATGCGTATAGGATCCATGTTTTGTACTGCATCAAGTTGGCTTGACATAGATATACCAGGGGAAGGTGACCACTTGGCGAGAATAGATGATATGGGTATCAGCTTTTCAGCTTCATATAAACGGAAAATGTTCAACAGATTTCGATCTGAGGCAGAGATGGTCCCGCCATATATGCGCATGAGTGGAATGACATGCGAAGGCTGGCATGTGTTGGCGGGATGGAGTCGAAACAGGGCAGCGATAAAACGGATGATAAGATCTCTTCGAGATGACTCTTCAGAACCACATAGTTTGAAGAACTGAGGGTGTTGAAGTATATTCTGCAGAGCTCGATTTACGACGACGGGCTGAAAACATCCATATTGAGCCTGAAGCTGCATGAGATGACAAGATAGGATTACCTTGAGAGGGGAGCACTGCAGTAATGCAATACCAATATCGAGTGCAACAGTATCAGTAAGTCGGTTTTGAATGATAGTCGTCAATAGAGGCTCCACAAAGTATGCCTTTGCCTTGAATCCTTTCTTGACGATTTTCGCTGCGAACATAATTTAGCCATGATACATGAAAAGTCTGTCCAATCCGACGCACTTAATTGGGTTAGAATCAGTCGGTCCTCTTCATCTTCTCCTTCTGGGCCAGAGAAATGGCGCACAGCCCATTGCAGTCCACGCTCAGCTAATTCTGTCACGAGATCGGCCAGCGGGGAAAATGATTGCAAGCGCGAGGCAATGCACACGCTTTCGAGGACGAATTGGTCGACAGAAAGGCGTTGCATATTCTTTTGTAGCAAGCTGGCGAGCTGTTGTTTACGAGCTGCATCTGCCTTGATTAAGATGCAGATGCAGCGGATGGACAACTGTCTCAGGTCCTCAGGGCGACGACGCTGAGGCAGCATACGATCAAAGAACGCAGTCATAACGGTATCATGAAACAAATCGATGGGGTCACCACCCAGGGAATCCAAAACAGCATGCACTGCTGATAGCAGAGGCTCAAACGGAATGGTCGTCCAAGCTCCCGAGTTGAACCACGTGACAAACTCCTTTGCAACACCGGATTGAGCATAAACTAGCCCGGACACAATACGTGACGTAGATTCTGTCCAAATCGCCTTTTGAAATAGCCTCGAGACGAAATCGGTGGGCAGTATGCCCAGCTGTGAACTTCCAGAAGTTGGCAGGTATCGAGGTGTTGAGGAAAAGTCCAATGTCTTCGCTCGTGAAGGCCGACCGTCGTGGCATGGAGGAAGATGTGAAGTCACTGCAACAGCGATCATTTCTTCGAGCACCTCGGAGTCAGGCAACACCCGATATAACGTGAGGAGCTGCGAGATAGGGATTCTCGAACTAACGCATGTGAAAGAACCCCTCAGGGTATCGAGGGCAAACTCCAGAACCTCCAGCACAGATGGAGTGAGAGCAGCATCATTGGCATCACACGCTTGATCAATGATGTTTAGAAGGTTGTTTGGGTCTGCATAACGTAGCCACAACTTGATGCAACGTCCCTGGAGAAACATTAGCAACGTAAATACTCACACATGATTATCGTACCGTCTGCAGTCGTCCTGACTGAATCGATGCCCTAAAGCACTCCGTCCAATATGTACAAATCAAGGATACCATTGTCCTATCATCCTCACTGCTGGGGTCAAGGGAAACATCGAGAAACGCACACAGAGCTGCTTGAACAATTAATGAAAGAGCACAAAGTGGCATTGAGAACATTACCTTCTTGCACAGTATCAGGAAGTTCTTCAGACATACTCATGCCATGGATAGATGGCGCCCTCAACAGGACATACTCCTTCAGCCGAGCGCCATCTTCCTTTGAAAGTTCGCCAAGCCCCTTCCGCATAATCGCCGACAGCAAAAGCAGTAAATTGGACACAAGAGATTCCCGTTCCATGCTCAAGCAGATATCATGTGCGATGAGGCAAACAGCATGCTCAACCTGAACCCGCGTTGGTGGTCTGAGAAACAGACACTCCAGCATTGTTTCACGACATTGCTTGTTTGCGATGTCAGCTTCAGAGCTTTGCATGAACATCCAATCAAAGGAAAGGCTGTATAAAGCATTCAGCATTCACAACGACACAGGAATCAAGGGAAGGCAGGTGGCATACACTTGGAGGGGCTGCTTTGAGGCAACCTTGAGATCGCCGCCTTCCCACATCAGCGAATCTGCGGGATGAAGGTTCTCGAATAGGTCTTTGAGAGCAGGAGGATGGAAGCGTTCGACCACGGCCACAAGTCGGACGATATCTTGGGACTGAAGTGTGAGTTCTACGAAGCGCAACCAGTCAACGAGTTCGTATGCATTGTGAATGCGTGCATTCGAGCTTTCAGCTAGAAATATGCAATCAATTTCCGTCAGATTGAAAAAAAATAAACGCTGCACACACGCAAAGGTACTCCTTCAATTTTCGTCAAGAAGTCTCCGACCTCTGAGCTTGCGCGATGCTCTGAGTATCTACGCACATCCTGGAAATGACTGAAACACTTGTGCATGATCGACACTTCACGCCGGATCGCAGCGGTAACGCAAGCATACTGGGAGAACAAGTTCTCGGACATCGCAGCATCATCCACTTTCCCAGAGAATATACGCAAAAATATCAAGTCTCTCTGCTCGCCCGCCAGCTTGAACACGAGCCTTCTCACAAACCCAGTAATGGCAAGTGCATCCGACGGGGTGAGCAAATTTCCCGCTAGTTTTGCAGTAAATTGTTCAAGCACAGTCATGAACAACGGACTCGGCGCATCGACTGCTGAGTTCTCCATGGGTAGAAGATCCCTAAGAGCCTCCAAGTATCGATATGGTGTTTTTATACATCGCTGCGCGCAGTTGTCCAGAAAGGTTGCGACACCGTCAGGTTCATCGGTCAGGGCGGCGCCATCTGGGGCTTGGCAGCCCCTTCCGCGGCAAGTTGTTGGAAGGGAATCGAGCCACATGTCCACCTCGTCCGGGTGTTCTTGGAAAAGGATGCTTTCAGCAAGCGTTTTCCTGAGCAATGAGCGTAGGGTGTTCCGGACTGCTCTTGTGGGGGTAGCGCAAAGGATCTTCAGCAGAGCATGAAGGTAAGTGTTAGAAGAGTTTGCTGTGATCGAAAGTTAGTTAGCACTCGAAGCCAACATTAGACTTCGAAGCATACTGACCAACTTTCCCAGACCAAGTAAATTGGTCACTCTCTTGTAACAATCGGAGTACATGTAGCTGCTTCAAGTCATGCAGACCACACACGTTCCCAGCTTCCCTTACAGTATCCTGGGACGCATCCACAAGACCCTGCAACAACTTCCCTACATCGAACCTCGCCTCTGCAACCATCTGAGGGAAACACAGATGATACAACCAAAGCAATCTCTGAGCGCTCTCCCCAAGTAAAGCTAGTTTCACCTCTTTGGCATCTACCTTCATTTGCGAGAACGCCACCACTACCTGGAATTCTGGCACCCTTCTCCGAGCTTCTCGTTCAACCTCTCGACGCCGACGTGTCCATTGCCCACTTTCGTCTTCCTCAAGTGCAGATTCAACATCTTGGAATGCACGAAAGACACAGGAGAGCTTGGTCAAGCACCTGGCTAGCGCAAGCGCTGTACAATGTTGCACGAGGTGGGACGTAGACTGCAGTCCTTTGGAGAAATACATCTTAGTACTGACAGAAGGAAGGATGCTCTCGAGGATTGCTGAGAGCGGTGGTGGATCGGGTTGATAAATATTGTTCCCAGGGATGAGGAACGATGAGACTGGTACAGGTTGGGAAATGACAAGTCCAAAGAATGCGACATTGGCTATCCATTTCGACGATAGACGGGG